TAAGTTAAACGAGTCTGGCTCGACTCGAGCTCGAGGCCTTAACGAGTCGAGCTCGAGCTCATTCAAAGCTCGTTTGGTTAACGAGTCGAGCTCGACTCAGCTGGATAAGGCTCGAAAAAAGAATTTTTATATAATTATTTATAGTTCGGCTCGTTAAAGTTCGAAATCGGCTCATTAACGCTTGAGCTCAATTTTTAGCTCGTTTATTTGACGAGCTCGGCTCGACTCATTAAGGGCTCGAGCTCGACTCAAGTCATTTACAGCCTACCACCAAGGAACTCCGATTTATGTACATTTTGTGTGATGGTGAGTCAGTGTATGTAAAACCTTAGACTACGAATAACAGCAACCGTTCCAAACACCCAACCATTCAACCACCCTAATATTTAATTAATTTCTCTCTCTTCCACATCATCAATAATCATCCCAACCACACCATCTCAATTTTGCAAGTTTATCAGCAACCACACCAACATCCAACCACAACATTTTTTTTTTCTTAATTTGATTTTATTTAATTATTATATTTTTTTATTTCATTTTTATTTTATTATATTTATATTTTATCTATCTATATATTAAAAGAATATCCTTTTAAGGATTCTCCCCAATTTTTCCCGACAATATATGCATATATAATCACCCGCTAATATATGTATATATAATCACCCGCCAATTGTCTTTTATTAACAGTGTCCTAAAACTTAGCAATTGTCTTTCCTTTTTTTTTGGTAGATAGGGTAGTCAACGACTGATTTATTGGTATTTATTGGGTAGATAGGGTAATTTATTGGGTAGAATTTGTTATTCTCTTTCCTGTTTTTTGGTATCAAAATACATATTTGTAATTATTTTTGGTACCAAACTAATAATTTTCAAATTGTGTGTAATCAAATATTTTTAGATGGAACACCATAAATTCGGTATGATTTTATTAAATTAGACTTATAATATTTTAGATACTTGAAACAAATTGTTTAGACATTTTTTTACATATTCGTCTATATATATACATATACACATACACATAATTGATGTTAAATTTAAATATATGTAGACATGTTTTATTTACAAAATAGTCTAGAAATTTTTTTTAACACAATGTTAAATTCAAATGTTTTTAGATATGTTTTTCTTCTAAAATTATTTAGAAAAGTTGTAGGTGATTTCACATCTTTCAAAAATAATATAGAAAACTTTGAATACTATTACATATACTAATATAATATTTTAGGTGTTCTTAATATTAAACATACAAATTTTATATTCTCTTATACAAAATAATGTATATTTTATATTCTATTATACAAAATAATTTTACATTGTTTAACCCCGAATCTTTAATTTATAATTATTAAGTATTGTTTATTCTCCTCTTTAATTTATAATTATTATTTTTTTCTTCCTCTTTTTAAATAGGATCAATAGTAATTTCCACTTCCGCCATTGAGTGTCTCAAACTCGAGATTTATTTATAATATTGTTAATTTAATATTGTTCCCGTGCATCGCACGGGGTGTACACTAGTTATATAAAAAACATACGAATTTAAAAACTATATATTTATGTCAATTTAAAAATAAAAAAGAAGTATAGCGAAATTGATCTCTATTTGTAGAGAATTAAAAATTATGAATTTTGGTATATTTATTTATTTTTTATTTGATTATATAAAAAATATATTAGTTTAAAAATTATTAAAAAAAAGATGAACCAATGGGATGGAGACAAGTGTCTCCATTCCATTAATTACTTTATCATAAGACTAACTCAACCACTTGGTTGCCTATCCCCTAAAACACACCACCGGTCTCTTCTCTTTTCTCATTTTTCTTTTTTTTTGTTTTTTTTTTTCCACCTGAACACACAAAGTCTCTTAGTGGTTGTTGTTATTGGTAGTCTTACGGACATTATTTCCAAAGCAATTAGGGCTCCTCGAGCCTTTAATTTGATTACTTTACTAGAGCATTTTCAATCATGTTTTGCAAATCAAAGATGTTTTAGTTATTAATTTACACTAGAGCTTCTGAAAAAAATATTCTCTAGATTAAAATTATTTTTGCTATCACCAAAACGAAAAACTAAAAGTAGCTACTTTTATATTTTTAACACAACATCCAACTTGTTATTAAGCTCCTTTTATTAGATTATATTGCTGCCAAGATGGAGAAATAGCCACATATATAGAATTTATTAGGTTTTATTTATTATGTTTTATTTAATGATTTTTCAGCAATTATACATATATATAGATTGTACGAATAAATGCTGGGAGAACAACATGTACTCCATAAATCAGTAAATAATATTAAATTGTCAATTTTAGTACTTCAATGTTTTTGTACCGCAAGAAGTAATTTTAGTGTATGTTTGGAAGCACTTTTGTAATGGACTTTTGACTATAAAAGTCCATTTCCAATATAAAAAGATGTTTGGTGTAAACAACAAAATATAGTTTGTTAAATATTTTATTATTATTTTTTCATAAAAATGTTACCATATTGATAAAATAATAAAAAAAACTTACCATATTGAACTGAAAATGCATTTGTACAGAAAAATATTAGGGTATTAAACGAAATGAACTTTTCGTATGCTATGTTTCATTTAGTTCGGTTCAAACTCGACTCATTAATGTAACCTTGTTTAAGACTCATTTAGTTAACAAACTCGATTAATGTGAACTTGTTTAAAACTCGTTTATTTAACAAACTCGACTCATTAATGTGAACTCGTTCGAGTTAATGATAACTTTGACTCAAACACCAACGAACCGCCGAATCCGTTTGCCGCACACTGCACACACAAAATCAATAGCAATGGTATTCCCCATTGTCTATTTTCTAGGGTGGGGAAGGCGAAACCAGAAAAAATAACAAGAAAAATTGAAATTCTTCTTCAATGGATGCTTTGGGTCTTCTGAAAATTCGCGTCCTAAGAGGCAACAATCTTGCCGTTCGCGACACGATGACTAGCGATCCCTACGTTGTTGTCGAATGCGGTTCGCAGGTCGGTCGATTTTGTCTGATTTCCATCTGTTTATTGCCCATTTTCGTGTTTCAAACAGCCCTTTTCAGGGTTCAGTCATCTATGGCTTTCAGGTTTTTGCCTTTCAATTTTATCATAATCTGTAATCGATGTTTGTTCCTGGTTCGAATTAGAGGCTTCAACTTGAAATCTCCGTTTGCAGGGGCCAAGATGATGTTTTTACATTGAAACCTTTTTTTTTTTTCTGCCTTGTGCTAGTAGTCTACTATTGATTAAAGAATTGAATTAACTCTTCTAGATAATAGTGTGATGTTTGTGTGATGATGACCAAGTATTTTCTAATTTTATGATTCATTTGGGTGCCTTAAACTATGGTAGCGGATGCCTCTTTAGCTAGAAAATGTACAAGGAATGGCGAGTTTGTTTATGGAATTTCTCGGTGAGTTGTAAACTGCCCATTTACCTTATGGGTTATCTGCAAGATGGAACTAAGCAAGTGATAAGCTGTTAATATCAAGAACCGAGTCGCAGTGTTCTGTAATAGCCATTCTGCAATTTCCTTTGTCTTCGTAATTGAGCTTTCAAACTCGAAAAAGAATAACGATAGAGATCAAATTCAGTGTTTGTCTTAAAATTCACTTCTTTCATGGGGTTCTTCAGCAATATCATAGATTTCGCCACGTAATTCCTAGCTCGATCGCCCTAGCTAAATTTTTTAGATGGCAATATTTGAGTGGCTGATGAAAAGCTCGTCTATAGGAAGTTCAGCTCACGTACACTTTGACTGTCTATTGGGTTTCAAAATTATTACACAACAACCCTTGAAGGGTTCTTTTTCTTTGTTTTATGCGCAGAACTGTCCAGTACTGTTTGATTGTGCTCAAGTCGGGCCTCAGTTTGCTTTTTTTAAGCATGTTTATCGAACATAACGAAAAGTATGAAGCGAGGGATGAAACAATATATATATGTTTTTTATGATATGGGTTGAATATAGCATTAACTCTTCTTTCAAATGCAAGTTTACAAACACACACATTATGACTGCATAAATTGGTGCAGAGGGTGAAGACAGAAGTCGTGCAGGACAACTGCAACCCTGTCTGGAACGAAGATTTGACCATTTATGTGAAGGACCTAAATGCCCCTATCAATATAGTAAGTTCCTCATATCCAACCCAAACTTTTTTCCACGTTTATAAATATTTCCAAAAATTAATTATTATTTGTTTTCTTTTTCGAGTTTGTGTATGACAAGGACACGTTCACATACGACGACAATATGGGAAACGCCAAAATCGACATAAAACCTTTAGTAGAATGCGTGAGGATGGGATTGGAAAGTTCCCCGGACGGGACTAAAGTCGAAAAGGTTCATCCGAGCCGTGAGAACTGTTTGGCTGAGGAGAGCTGTGTAGTGTGGAGTGAAGGCAAAATGATTCAGGACATGATTTTGAAGTTGAGAGATGCCGAGTGTGGGGAGGTTCTGGTTCAGATTGAGTGGCGTGATCTTCCAGGTAGCAAAGGCATTCTGGTTTGAGGATGGCCGGAGCCTTTCGAGACTTCCTTAGGTAAATGAAAATAATGCAAACTTATGGCCACATGATATATGCATTTTTTTTTTCTTAGTAATGGTGAATAAGACGACGTTTCTTGTTGTAGACTTGTAGCGATTGTTGATAAATGTGATTTTGAATAGTTTGGAGAGGTGTTAGAAAAAATTAGTTGACACAGCTGAAAATTAGCCGAGATTTTCCAAATGAACTCTCGAGTCTTGAAAATGAGCTTATTATAGGTGTTATCGAGTGATGTAGGTGATTTTTTGATAAAATATATTGCATTTTTCTTTATATAGAGTACTTGTTTAACAATTTTTTTTTTTTGTTCCTTATTCTTTTTCCTACTTGTAATATTTCTTATTTATTTATTTATTTATTTATTTATTTATTTATTTATTTATTTATTTATTAATTATTATTATTATTTTAATTTTTAAATCCGAGCATGCCTACTGCATGCTTAAATAATATAATATGCCTTAGGTATCCTATTCAAATGTGGCAACTGGCAAGGTGACAAATATTATATATATATATATATATATATATATAGGCTCAAAATTCTGTAAGTTTGATGCATTTAAAATCTCATTACAAACAAATAAGAAAAATAAAAAAAAAATATCTGCATGCAAATTTTTTGGAAGCTTGCATTGTTAGTCAGTAGATATTTCTCTCCCAGGATTAGCCTGCAATTGTAAGGTTCTCCTTCACTCAAAAAATCAAAACACATATATTATCAAATAAAAATCTAATATTCCCAAAGCCCTTTCCCTCAATTTTCAATATCAATTGAACTCTTTCTTCACAATACATATGGCTCTAACTCCAGCTACATCTCTAAACCACATTTGTAGCAACAACAGTAACATCTCAACAAGAAACAATCTATCATTCAAAAACCCAACACTCATCACATTATTCCCATACACCCTTATAACCACACCAAGAATTAAATCTTCACAACGAGTGACAGCAAGGCGCGATGGCGTGGCGTTTGTTGCTGCTGACGAGGAAATGGACAAAATCCGGCGGCTGCAAAACGGGTCGGACGTGCGCGGGGTGGCGGTGGACGGCGAGAGGGGGCGGGCGGTGGACCTGACGGCGGCGGCCGTGGAGGCCATAGCCGAGAGCTTCGGGGAGTGGGTGGCGGTGGGGTATGAGGGAGGGTCGGTTAGGGTATCGGTGGGGAGGGACCCGAGAGTCTCGGGACCTGTGCTGAGTGTGGCCGTGTTCGCGGGGCTCGTGCGGGCCGGGTGCGTGGTTTTCGACATGGGGCTGGCTACAACGCCGGCTTGCTTCATGAGCACAATATTAGCTCCTTTTCAGTACCATGCTTCGATTATGGTACGGTTGTTAATGACACTATCTTTTTTATTTGACATATTAGGGCAAAAATCTAATTTTGGTCCGCTAATTTGTCCATTGTCCACTTTTGGTATACTAATTTGTCCCTCATCAAAAAAGGTCCATTATGTTACACATTTCATCAGTTTTAGTACACTAATCCCGTGGCCCGGGATTACGAGATGCCAAATCAGTTTTTTATCCTACCACGTCAACATCTTATCCCTCCACGTAGTTCCAATCCCGGTCCACATCATCTTGTAATCCCCCCAACTGGAGTAGTGTACTAAAACTGATGAAAAATGTAACATAATGGACTATTTTTGATGAGGGACAAGTTAGCGGACCAAAAGTGAACAATGGACAAGTTAGCGGACCAAAATTAAATTTTTGCCGACATATTAGAGCACTAACTTCAAAATTGGGCGTTTAAAGAGTGATTTTTCAAGTTACTGTTCTAATTTGCCGATTTCTTGCTGGAAAATTAGGACAATATCACGCATTAACGCCCAATTATCCTAATTTGTGAAAAAAAAAAAATGATATGGTCTATATTTATCACATGCCACAAGTTATAGGCCATAAATTGCAACTTTACAAACGAAAAAAATACCCTTATATAAAATTCTTGAATATGTTGGGTCTAAGTATCAGACTCGGATCCTTCGAGATCTTATGTGTAAAATCTCATGCTTCATTATTTGGTCTAGATAGATTTTAATTTACTTCCAATCTAAAATTAATTAAGTCCGAACTATCCATAAATATGTGGATTACTTATGATCATTTTAAATGTATTAATTGCATGTTAATATCATTTTAAATTATAACCCTTGAATTGTAAAAGTATTTTAAAAGTTAACAACTTTTTGTAGCTTTTATCAGTTTTAAATTATACTAGTATTCATCCTGTGCACATGCACAAAGAAAAATAAAAATTTGTATATTATATTTATGTATACAATATATAAAAATTTTATATTAGATAATTAATGTATTACATTTTAAATTTTGACTACATGCAAATGTTTAATGTAAATATAATTTATTTAACTTACGTATGAATCTTTAAATTGATGCCATAAATTTTAATGGCTAATATAATTTAGTAATTTAAAGGGTCCATACAATTAATTAGTTAGAAAAGTATTACAATTATTTTTATTATTGTTATAGCATTTGTTTACGTGGTTTTAAGGTGTTTAATTATGACACTCATGCCAGTTAATTAATATTAGATAACAATCGCTTAAAAAGAACAAAAATATTTCATTTTAGAAAAAAGTATTTTAAAGAAAAAAATTGCAATACAATTTTTTATAAGTATGTAACTTCTACATACTATTTAATGTAAAGTTGTAATCAATTAGTGTTAGTAGTGAATAAATTATATTCAAATTATTATTACACTTTATTAATGTAAAATGTAACGGTTCTACATTAATTAAAAAATGAGCGGGAAAATAAATGGAGGTTTTATTAAATGTTTTATTAAATGCTATATGCCAGCAATTATATATATATAGATTTATCTTTATAATAATAATAAAATTATTTGTTAATATTAGTTAGAAAAATAAATTACTTATTAGTTAATATATTTATGTTCAAAGTAGTCACATGGTAAAGTTAAAAAAATTATTATAATATAACATTTATAAGTCACAAAAGTAACAAGTATCATTTTAAAATATATAAAAATATATATTTTTTTGTAAAAGTGAATTCTAAAACAACTTTTCTAATTAATTTAAAATATAAGAATAAATCCAAAAAAAAAAAAAAAAAACTATGCCTTTCCCAACAGAAAGCATGTTGAAAAACAATTAGGCAAGCTACTCGTTGGGACATTTTGGTAATTTTCAACAAACATCTATATAATACACGAGTATTGTACTAGGTAAAGAGTATGTGTATAAATTAAACATATGTGTCTAATAATTAAAAACGTGAATATATAATTAAACATTTTATATAGGTCACAATTTTCCTATATTTTTCTATAGTTTTATTTCTGTATAATGAGAACAAAATTCAGGCTGTGACCATTTTATCTTTGTTTTGATTTGTTGTGGGTGGGTGCAGATGACAGCATCTCACTTGCCCTACACACGCAACGGCCTAAAATTCTTCACGAGGGAAGGTGGGCTCACATCCACACAAGTTGAGGAAGTTTGTGATAAAGCGGCCCAAAAATACGCCAACCGCTTGGCCAAAGTGTGGACCGCTCTTAGTGTGGAGCCCAATAGAGTTACCTTCATGAGCGCCTATGCCGAGCATCTTAGAAACATAATCAAGCAAAAAGTTAACCATCCTTTGCATTATGAGTCCCCTCTTCAAGGATTTAAGGTTCTCTACCGGTCAAAGTTTTTAAAATTGCATTATAAGTTACATATACACTAACCGAAATTTTCACTTGTGGTGACTATTTCGGAATAACCGAATCGCAGATAATCGTAAACGCCGGAAACGGGTCGGGAGGCTTCTTCACGTGGGACGTACTGGATAGGCTCGGGGCGGACACGTTCGGGTCGCTATACCTAAACCCGGACGGCATGTTCCCGAACCACATTCCCAATCCGGAGGACCGGACCGCCATGTCCGTGACCCGATCGGCCGTGCTCGACAATTGTGCCGACCTCGGTGTTGTCTTCGACACAGACGTTGACCGGAGCGGAGTCGTCGATCGGGACGGCAACCCCATCAACGGCGACCGCCTCATCGCCCTAATGTCGGCCATTGTGTTGAAGGAGCACCCGAGCACGACTGTGGTAACCGATGCCCGCACGAGCATGGCCCTCACGAGGTTTATCAACAAAATGGGCGGGAAACACTGCTTATACCGGGTTGGGTACCGAAACGTGATCGACAAAGGGGTGAAGCTCGATCGAGATGGCGTGGAGACGCACCTCATGATGGAGACATCGGGCCACGGGGCTCTCAAGGAGAATCACTTCCTAGATGATGGTATATATATGCGGAGTTTTACTTTTTATCTTTTATTTATTATGTAGTGCGATAAAAAGATGAAACTATAGCAATAAAGAAAAAATTAGAGATTTAATCCCTGTAACTGCAAGTTACAAAATCTGACCTTTGGTCCTCCACCGGCAAAAACCGATCTCTGTGACTGGTTGCTGACGTGTATATTATTTTTTATTTTTTTTGTACACGTGGCAGTTGACTAAAATCCAATTCCATAACCAGTCAAATTGATAGGTTTCTGCCGGTGGAAAGACCAAAAGTCAGGTTTTTTTCGTAGTTACATGGTGTTCTGTAAAATCAACGTAACCATGGAACTATTTTTCAACTAGGTGTTATTTAAAAGACTACATCTTCAGTTTTTCCCGATGATAAACATATAATTCGGAATGTATGTTGTAGTCGTCGGACTACAACATAATTCTAATGTGTTTTTTTTTTTTTTTTGGCTTGAATTGGAAACTCAAGGTGCATACATGGTGGTTAAAATAATCATTGAGATGGTGAGGATGAAACTCGAAGGATCGGACGAAGGGATCGGGAGCTTGATAAAGGATTTTGAAGAGCCACTCGAATCGGCCGAGCTCAGGATGAACATTTTGTCGGAGCCTAGATTCGCCAAGGCCAAAGGCGTGGAGGCTATCGAGGAATTCAAGAATTACATTGAGGTAAAGAATTTGAAGGAGTCATACTACTACATCAATATAACAAATGACATGAACTTTCACATATGAAAATCTACAGCAAGGAAGACTAGAAGGGTGGGAATTGGATTCGTGTGGAGATTGCTGGGTAAGCGAAGGCTGCCTTGTCGACTCCAATAACTCACCTGCCGCCATTGATGCTTATATGTACAGGTGCCATTATATTCTCATGCCTTTGCAATTAGCTTCTTCAGTAATTCAACTACTAATCCGACTTCATTTTAAATATTTACATATGTGTTAATAAATAAATCCAGGGCTAAAGTCTCATCTGCAGAGCACGGAGAAATTGGGTGGACACATTTAAGGCAGAGTATTCACAACCCAAACATAGCCGTTAATTTGCAGTCGACAATCCCAGGAGGTTGCCAGACCATGACAAGAGCTCTCAGAGAAAAGTATGCATCAATAATGCACTATACATATTTGCAATTAATATTAGTTGTATTACTAAAATAGTCACGATTATGTCTTTCTTGTGCCTAAAGGTTCCTCTCACCCAGTGGATTGGATAAAATCCTCGATACTTCGCAGATTGACGAGTACGCCACAAACGGAAAAATTTAGTGTTTAAGAGAATTCAAGTCGGCGAGTATGTATAGAAATTTGTAGTCAACAAATGCAATTTTTGTGGATGATGATCTTATTTTTGCTCGAGCTACAGCAAGTGGAGGCACTCGAACTCCTTGGTGTGTTCAATTGAGAAATCGATGAATCCGTAAACTTGTTTACGGCCTCAATCCTTTCCCTCTTAAACTTGTTTTGTCCATATGTTGATAATAGATCTTTTGAACTTTGACATCTATCTATATATAATAAGGATTAACATAATTCAATATTAAAAATATTTTCCCTCCAATTTCATTAATTATTGCCTAAAAATAGTAAATTAACACAAATGGAATCATAATCATATTAATTATCCTATTTCCCAATTACAGATTTGGTTTCATCTTTTTATGGATTCTGCCATAAAAAGATAAAGCTATATCAATTAATCAACTAATTATTAAATAATGTACTAATACATTTGGAAAATTCATCAAAATAGACTCTGAAATTAATATTCATAGCATTTATAGAAAAAAAAAGTCAATTTTAACATATTAATATTTTAATACGAATAAAGACTCAATTTAACTCTGCAAAAGTTTAATGTGTTGAATATTCAAGCGTAATCAAACATACATTTATGGTATAATAATATTTGGGTTCATATTGAATATCTCAAGTTATCTATCACGATTGAATTATATTTACAAATCTGTTTGATTTTTAAAAGAATCTTACTTAACAATTATTAATTGTATGTTTTATATTGAATTTGCATTTTAAATCAGTTGATTCCATAAAGAATCTTAATTAACTATTATTAAGTTGGACAATTAATCTTTGTTAATATAATGTTTTCTTAAAATTTATTTCGTTGTAGATATATGTATATATATATGTTGATATCATTTTCTGTAAGCCGGGTTAAGCGGCACTAATCCGTTGATCGAGACCAATATGATGATGATTAGAGTTCATACAAGCACGAGACACTTCCACCGGCTTCAAGATGATTACACAATGAAAGATTCAGTAGAAACCGACATCCTTACTAAGTTGACCGATGTCACATGTCGGTCAACACATGTCGGTCAACACATGTCGGTCAACACGTGTCGGTCAACATATGTCGGTTACTACGTGTCAGCCACGACGTACCAGTCATAACTAGGTGGGCCGATATCTATAACATGCCAGCTCAGCATGGTAAGGCGGTGACAACTCAGCATAATTCATCATTACGCTTATCCAAGTGGCAAGCTAACAAGAGGAGCCATCAAAGACCGCCTTTGACCTTTCAAATGTAATGATTATTATACAGATAATTATGGTATGTAAATATAAAAGGGAAATAGAGAATTTCCCAAACACACAAGAAGACCACGCTGTTACAAATTACATTCCCAGAAATAATATACAGGCTTTTCCATTGCTAAATATTTAGATTTACTTAAAATACACCCCGATTTGGTTGTTGTTAATTCCCATGTAACAACAATATATATATATATATAAATTCTTCGAATTACTATAATTTACTATTTAAAAAATAATGACCAGATATATTAAATAGTTTTATTAATAGTCAAAAATTAAATTAAAATATATTAACTATTCTTTAGAAATTATATGTATATTATTGTCCACAAATTATGTCTTTCATCTTTTTTTTTTTAATTTCTTTTTATAATAAAACTTTGGTAAAATATATTTTCTTACAGAGTATGTTGAATAAGCTATAAATCTTTATAGTGCAAATTATAAAAATATCTTGATTATAGAAGGATTGAGTTTTTGATATTTTTTATATTAAAGTTGTTTAATTTGAATAAAATTAAATTCTAAAAAATATTTGTGCATATTTTGTAAAATATTTATACACTAATTAATTTTAATTTTATTTACATATTTTAAATTGATTGCATAAGTAAATAACACCAACGTGCATTAAATACTTTTCATTACATAAAAAAAAAAACGTACAACCTCTATAACTTTTATACATAATAATGAGATGACATGACAACAAAGTTTATAATAAAATAAAAGTTAAGTATTATATGGTGAACAAGAATAAG